CGCAGAGTTCGGTTTGGGATGTCAGAGGAGGAAGGGGATATCCTCCTCCTGAACCCTGTACATCGACTCATATCTCCTGGACGTCGGTTGAGGGTGTGATGGCAGGTCCCAGGGCTGCGTCATCGCCTGCCGCAAGGTGGTTATGAGTGGCAGGACGATAGATGTCGACTGCTCCCCGCGGACGACATCGTAGAACTTGTCCATCGTCGGTCCCGGGCACTGGGCAGCGTCGATGTCAAGGAACTGGACAAGTCTAGACATCAGCTCCGCAAAGGAGATGTGGGACTCATCAGGCGACGCAGGACCCTGGGATGTCACAGTGACGTACGGGGAGGTTGAGTCGGCCTCTGAGTCGGCTGAATCGGCACCGTAGTAGGGTGGAGCTGAAGATGACGACTCCGCCGAGGAGAAGGAGCGGCTGCTTCCATCCTGCGGGGATCGAGGTGACGCCCGCCTCGGATCTGATAAGCGCGGTTGATCACGGGATGGAGGAGAGGATCGTGCCCTGGGAGCAGGGTAGTACCCTACGGAGAGCAGATCACCCCAAGTATGGTAGTAGGGGCGATGCCAGCTCTCCAGACGTTGCTCTACAGAGCGGCTCCTCCAGCTTCCCGGTGGGGACAGTCCAACGTCTGCTTCCATAGTGACCGTGGGCATGGGTGTTGGTGACCTCGCCCTAGGAGGGGAGTCTTGGATTTCCCCATCGGATATTGAACCCTGTAGAGTTGGAAGGGGTGCAGGCAGGAGGTCAACCGCGCGGCGGGGAGACCCTTGAGGTGTAACCTGCATAGCCTCCTGGAGGACCGGTTTGGGCGGAGTCGGTACCGTAAGCACCACCGGTACCGAGGGGCCCATCGGTTCTGAGTCCCGTTGTCGGGGACGGTCCGGACAGTCCAAATTCCTGGGTTTCTTGGGAGGCTTGGAGACTTTCTCCTTCCTGGACTTTTTATGGCCTGCCGACTTCTCGAATTCGGCATGCTTCTGCTTCTCGTGCTTCTTTTTAGGTGAAGCAGAGGAAGCCACCGAAGCAGACGCACCTTCATCCGAAGGCCGTGAGGGTGGGGCCACAGAAGAGGAGCCAGGTTTTGGTACGGCAATAAGCGGGTCCGATTGCATTAGGGCCCGATCCCAAAGGAGTCTCCGGAGGTGATTTTTGCAATTCTTCCTGGCCTGCTTGGAGAAGGCCAGGCAATGCGCGCATTTATCTGTCCTATGCCCCTCTTCCAGGCAGAGGAGGCATAGGTCATGCGAGTCAGTTGGTGCCACTTTTGACCCGCAGTCCGCACCTTTGCGGAAAGCCGCTCGGTGCGCCATCACAGCAGCAGCAGCAGCAGCAGAAGAAGAAGAGACAGTGCAGAGAGTAAGTATATATTTTTGTTTTGTTTTTTTAGATAGATCAAAAGAAGAAATAACAAGAGAAAAACTACGCGGAACAATGAACTGGGAGCAAGGAAAAGCAACTGGGAAAAAGAAGGACAATCGAGAGCAAGGTAACAGTCAAAGCGAAAGTCGAAAGCAGCACAAGGCACAGAGAACGGCGGTCGCAAAGACCGAACAAAATGGCGGACGCTCCGCTCTTTATAGGCCACAGGGGGGAGGGGGAGCGGAGCTTCCCACCAAAAACCGTTAGCTGACAATCTTCTGGCCACAGGCACTGCGCAGGTGCAGTACCCATATGTGTGATGCACAGAGGCCACGACGAAGAATTTTGATTATTCTCCCATCCCTAATAAAGTGAGTAAGACTTAGAATTGAGTGAATCCTGCCAAATGTAGCAGAGAAGTAACTTCTTTAAAGTGACTACTGTATACCACAGTGCATAGTGAGGGGACAAACTATCTCTGTCCTTCAATGATTCTTATTCATTATGACATCAGATTTTTTCAAACAAGGTGGTGAAGTCACCCACTATTGGGAATGAGGGTGGCAGTTGTTCTTGGTGTGACCTGAGTGTATGCCAAGAACAACTGCCACCCTCATTCCAACACCCATTTGCAAAACAGTGCCCACAGTGACTGCAAAGGAGACAACAGCTGTGTCTGGAGAGGATGTGGATGTATAATGTGTCCATATCCAGTGCAATGTTCTCAGTGATAAGGTGAGGTGCTCCAGGAATTCCTGGGGCTTGAAGGTTGAAACAAACAGCGGGGGAGGAAGGAGGAGGAAGTTGAGCAGCCTCCAAAAACATTGGGTTGTCACTGCTCCTGTGTCAGAGAGAGATGTACAGAGAACCACAGTATGGGCCTAGGTATGGATCATAGGGGGCTCAGCAGGATAGACAGAATGCCTATTCCAGTCCAAGAGCTCAGGGATCTGCCTGGAGTTGGTGGTGGAGACTGGCTCAAGGTATGAGCACTTGTTGAGGGCAGTGCAAGCCAAAGTTACAAAGAACCTTTGGCTGAGGAAGGGCAAGCAGCCTCAGGTAGTTTTAAAATGTTGACTGCCCTGAAAGCTTGCTCCAGATTTCCATGCAGAGGCAATCCACCTGGTGTTTCCTGGCTTACTAGGTAAAAGTCATGCAGTAAGGGCACTTGTTGACTTGTGCTCCTCACCAAGAGGAGCTTGGTGCTCTGAGACAGAGCAGACAAAGGGAATGTATGTCAATCAGCAGAAGTTTGCTGTCACATTTCATGCATTTGTGAAATACTGCCCTTGATGTCATTGGTAATTTGGTGGATGGAAATATGTAAGAAAGGAGCAAAAATAGCTAGTATAGCCCAGGAAAGGCAAAAGGAAATTATTTTTATTTGGTGGGAGGTAAGGAAAAACAGATACAGTTGAGAAATAGGGAGCCAAGAGAGTGTAAGATCAGAGCAAGGAAAAACTGGAGAAAGAGAGCAAAGGAAAATGCTCAAAGTAAAACAGAACAGAGATAAACTTCCTGAGGCAGTTAAAAAACTGAGGATGTGAGTGAGAACTTCTCCCCTTTTGTACTAGAAGCTGGGGTCAGGGAGGGCTTCCCACCAAAATGCTGTTAGCTAATAAATCTTACCTACAACAGGCAGGTGCAGAGCCCATATGCTTGACGCACAGAGACCATAAAGAAGAACATTTCAGTACTTGCACCTTTACATACTTGCTCAATAGAACAGGAAACCTACCCTTGAGTTATCAGTGTATGGGGCTGAAGCAATTTGGAAACATAAAAGATTAAATTTTATTGCTATTTCAAAATGATGTTATGTGTAGGGTATGTTCCTTAACTAATCTAATTAAATGAGACATGTTTGGCTCAAAGTGTATACAACTACTTGTTTCTAACAACTTTGCTAGTTGAATTATTTGACTATTAACAAATACATACTCCTCAGAGTTATTTAAGGGAGGAAAAGAATAAAACATGAATTAACAGCAGAGTGTACAGACTTTTAGTTTTATAGAACTCAGTTAACCCCATATAATCAAGTGGCAAACATGCAAATAAAAACATTGTGGAAGACAATAAAGTGAAAAACGTTCTTTAACAGCCAGCTCCCAAATGAAACGTGCAGCGCACATTTTAATTATGTGATTACGGCTATGCTTTATTTTCCCATGCAATTAATGCTATGTAATAAAATGATTCAGTAAATGTGGGGTTTTGTATGCTCAGAGGCAGTGGCAATTTCAATTACACTTGATAGCTGCTTGTCCAAAATAAGGGTAAAACATAAATGTCCCCCCACCCCCCAAAAAAAATCTCTACAGGAAAGACTGCCTTAAAAGAACACAGACTGTCCAAGTATACAGACTGTCTGAACAGAAGTGGATAGGAAAATGTTTCCACCTTCTTTCATGATTATGGTCCATCCAACCTAGCAAAGTCTGTAGTGATGGGCAAACCACCACCTTTGATAAGAAATGTCAGAGTGTATGATGTCATAACAGCAGCTACAGTGACAATCCAGTGTCTGAACTTTATCCCAATCCTGTGCCTATACCAAACTGAAAGTATGGATCAAATGACCAAATAATGCTTCCACACCAAAAGAAGTTCTCAGCACACAGAAAATCATCAAGGAGATGGCCTCAAACACAGTCTTCTCCCTACTAGCATTCTATGAAGGAATGTTAAATGAAGTGGAGGCCCCCACTTGCTGAAGTAGCTCAGTCCAAAAACAGTTTTGCTACCATTGCTGAATATTAAATTTATATATGGCTGGGATGGTCTGCAAAGACATTGGATATTCTCTACTTAAAGCAACATAGGAAGGAAATGCAGAGTTAACAATTGCTATTATTTATTATAATTAAAAAACTGCAACTGCATAGATGTCGATATATTAGCTTATTATTTTCCCACATCTTTAGAATGTTAACTGAAATGAATTTAATTTTTCCAGATTTGCAAATTCTATAATGAATTGTAATCCTGAGGGATTTCACAACAGCTGGATGAATTGTATTATTCTAATTTCAGCTACCCAAGGGTTTAGAAAGCTGCTGTAGTCTAAGATAATCAATTTCTCATATCCAGAAACATCATAACACTGAATATCAATGCATTGTCATAAAACTACTTTCATATAACACGTTGATTATATTCATTAAAAAGCTAGACTAAACTATGATTACACTCCCTGTTGATCAGAAATGTAGCCAATATATATATGTGCATTGATTGTACTAGTGTGTTGGCTGGTTTAATGCAAAGGAATCCATCTGGTCTCTTTACAAATCGGCCAAAATTGAAAATGGCCCACTCAGTGGGCTGTTTTGGACAATCAAACAAGCCACCATGGCTTAAACAGTTTGTTCCTCCTCAGTCATGCTGTGTCTGGGCAGGTAACATGTTCGATGCTAGTGATTAAAACAAGTCGCCATAGCTTGGTGACTTGTTTTATCATAAGGTCAGTATGTATCCTGCACACATAGGGTAAGCCAGACAAACAGAATGGACCTTGCTTTCTCTGCCTGTATGGTTGCGGGTCAGGTACCCTGAGAAGATGGGTCAGAGCCCCGTTCCCCCCAGCCAATTTAGTAATGCAAGCCAGAATAACAGTACTACAGAATGAAATTACCTTCACATCCTCTGCTACTGAAGTAACATTCTGATGGTGTTTGAGAAAGATGCAACACAAAATGTTCAATTAATTCTGCCAAATCTGCAGTAAGTCAAAATGATTAAAGCAGTAATGCCATGAAATAAAGTGCAGAAACATAACAACAAAAGTATACAGGCATTTAGAATAATCTACATTGTTGCATGTTGTTTTAGACTTGCATGGAAAACACAATTCAAAATGTCCATTCTATTTTTGTATTCATAACAACATTCCTGAATTAAATTAAAAATGTAATGGCTTCTCTGACAGTGTAAACTGAAAGAATCATTTGTTATACTTAGATTCTCCAAGGGTTACTTCAGAATTTGTTAGACAGTTTCAACATAAGGAAAATGAGCTGCAATTGGATAGCACTCTCTACATTTGTCTATGCAGAGGCACCAAGGAGAAAAGTTTGGCCTTTATCATAAAGCAGAAGTCAATGCATGCTAGAGTTTGTCTGTCTTTATAATAAAAAGCTCCAAGAGTTCTCTACATCTTTTTGTATAATTAACCTAGTATTGTGATGAAGCTTTTAAGAGACAAATAAAAATGATTAATTTTTATTTTTGCTGTTACGATATTAGGTCCTCTCTCTCCATGCAAAACTCAGTACTAAAAGCTGATAGTCTTCTAGTGAACTGTCTCATGAGCTTTTGCCGGATTTTTCTATGTATCCGTACAATCAGTAACAGGTATTTAAATGTAATATTCTGAGCATAGTTCCTTCACTAAAATATCCTGCAGTTTCAGGATTTTGTATAAGACCTTCTTTCAGACTAGCCATTTCATTTCAAGGTTTGATAATATGCTTTAGCTGATTGCTATAACTTTCGTAAGCATAAACATTCATTAATCTTCTCACTTCCATTTTAACAAAATATAAGTATTATAGAAATGTTTTCATGTGTTATCACAGTGCAGGCATAATAAGCAATATGCACTTGCATTTGGATAATTGATAAGGTCTAAAAAGCAGAGTACATTTTTTGTCTTTCCAAGTTCATTATTTTGAAACATAAAGAGATGTGGCTTAAATATTTATATTTAAGCAAATATTTATTTACATGTGCTTGCTTATTTATCTATTCAGGGGTATATACTTTTAAAATACATTTTTAAGCTTGCAAGATAAACAGCAGGGTTAAAAATAACTCATACTAAAATGCAATGATTCATAGTGGAAAAAACTTTATATTGCAAATTACTCAAATTATATTAGCAGTCTTTGCTAATGTACACAATTACAAGTGTACATTTGAGTTTTATTTTTCATACAGTTTTTGCTATGTAACCAAGACCCTCCTATACCTGTGTTACTTGAGAATCCCTCTGCTCTCTCTTCTAATAGGCCAGAACATGTTACAAGGGAAACATGAATTCCTAGCTATACTAATGTACAATCAGATTTTCAGGAGATATCTAGTGGTGGGAGAAAAGTACATTACTTTCTGCTAGTTCTCCTCTCAAATGCACCCTTATGTTGTTTTTAATTATCTCCCTGCACCAGTCAAGCTCTGAAACTGAAAATCTTAGCAAGAAGTAAAAACAGCCTTCTTTCCTGAAAGTGACACCCCCACTCCCTTATCATATCCCTGTACTCACATTAGCTTGGCAAACATTAGGTGTGGAAACTTAGGTTTACCTAGGTCTGGTGTAGGCAATGTACCACCTGGGTACCAATGTGCCTCCTTGAAGCCTCTTGAGATGCACTAGCCCTCCTGTTTCTTGATGCTGTGAAATCACTTTCCAGAGCTACTGAAAAATGTGGTTTCAAAGATGTCTAGTGTCCTGGGACTCAAACCTTCACCTCTGACTTGTACTCAAGTGTTCTGGAAAACTTAATTGCCCTTTTCAACATCCCCATGGCAGCCTTTTTGCAGTGGTTCTCCCTTTAAGAGCCCACAGACATATAGTTTGGTGGGTACTAGGGATTACTGCTGAGTTATCAGCATCAAAACAAATATACTCACTGGCTCCACTCATAACATTAGGTTTGCTTTCCATGATTCCACAAAACTGTCTCTGAATATTTTCAATCCATCCCACTTGCTTATCTGGATTCTTTATTGCAGATAAAAGCTTGCTAGCATCATCATCTAAAAGGAAGATGAAAGATGTATTTCAAAAACTGTACCTGTTAACTCTAGGTAACTACAGCTATAAATACTGTTTTTAACTAGATGGATGCCTCACTTAGTAAAAACCAACGTAGTATGTAGTTTTCCCTAAACAAGAAAAATTGTAAAAGGAAGGACTTCAGCACAGTTCTTGCAGTTACTTTGTTTTCTATGCAGTTGGCTCCAACCTGAGTATGGGTACTTTCATAAGGGACTGTATAAAGTTGATTAGACACAGATAATGCCACAACTCTTCTGGGATTACAGTAACTGGGGAAAGTGCTGTCAGAACTACTGAGATCAGTTTCAGGTTTCTAAATAAAGTTCTTTATCAGCCCATAAGAGGCTTATACCAATGGTTATCCGAACTCTAAATATCAAAGTGATCAAGGCAAATTATTTCTTCTCTTAGCGTTCAACACAGTGTATTGACTTCTTGTCTGTGCTATACATTACCTGTTACTAGCTTTCAAACTACTGATAAAGATCCATAAATTATAAAGTTGCAGTCAAACTTTTCAGCAGTCAAACTTTTAAAATTTTGATTCCTTAAGGTACTTGTTCTTCTTGCTTCCTAACAGCACTTTAATATCCCACTTCATATTAACTTGCCAAATAAAATCATTTGCAAATAATGTTAGTCTTTTTATCAAACAGAAAATATTTGCTTTATGTTTGTTTCATGGCATAAAATGCATTTTTAAGTAGCATTTGCACCTTAATAATATATACTTAAAATTGTTTTCTTTCCACTACCATTTATTTGAACATCCTGAATCTTTCACAAAACTGCATTAATAGTATAGTTTTCTTAATCTCCTTATCCATGCAGCATGCACATAGTGATGCCAAGTAACAACAGCAAAAGGTTTCATTCTTCAGAGACTCTGCCAGAACAAACTGAATTCAGTTGTCTAACACGTATTTCATCTAACAAAACAGAAAAACACACACACAAAACACAACATGTGGTACTTCTTATAATTAGTGTTCCTCTGTTGCTTCCATCTCCAGGTACCTTTGTATAAAGAAATTATTTGAGGTGTATGGGGCATGTTCTGTCACTCTGGATAGAAGTGGATAGGGTAATGTTTCCTTGCATGGCCACACCAAACCCAGGTTTGGATGTAGTTCTCTCCACAATTGGTCCACCTCCCAAAACACCAGATTGGTGGCAATTAGCTTCATGTCTAGCCTGCTACTTTAGTATTTTAGTAATAATATATAATTCTATAAAGCGCAGTCACAAAAATCAGGTAAAAAGCATTTCTGCAAGACATGTCCTCCAAACAGGAAGCCAGGGCATTCAGAAGGGCTTTCCCTAGACCTTTCTCTTGCAAATAGTAGCCATCTTGCTACTAGTCCAAGTAGGACATCTTCTCAAGAACAAAATCAGAATTTAAAAGTGTGTTTTCAGGATCTCCTGCTTTTCCTGCTTAGAAAAGGAATAAGTGATACCTATACTGTATTTTGTTCTAGCAACTTTCAATCATCAGGGTCACTGTTTTCCCCAGCTATGAAAACAAGAGGAAAAAATACACACTTTCTTAATTTGAAAACTTCTCAACTAATCTAGGAATTAATCTAAAAATAAAGGGAAGTAAGCCATGTTAACATAAACAAATGAAATAAAAACAGATCAGTCATGCAAACAAATGGCATTATCCAGTTAGAACTAACATAAATTACACTGCACTACTATAAAGTACCTCTAGTACAATCTCAATAATATCAACTGGAGCAACAAAATTTGCTGGAAAACCACCAGCTAAAACTATTGACATTGTGTCAGAGGCCCCCTTAGCGAGCACCATACAATTTAACACTTGTGACCAAAGTCCTACATTTATTTCCTCCTTTATTAAATTCAGTCATACACTGATCACCATATAGTAGAAAATATATATCTTTTATACTTCTCAGGATTCCACTCTGAAATTCTCACTGTTTGTTCATAAATAGCTGCCCTTTAATTTACTGAATTTGCTAAGCAGTGATACCTTAATATCACATCTATTCAATGAGACTTTTTCTGAAGTGAATCCTGTCTTACATATTCAACTCCATACATAAAGCAAAGTAGAAGTTTCTCAAAAATTAAAGGAAACAACTTTTCCTTTATGTACTCTCTAAAAAACGAAAAGAAAAAAAGAAAGACACCCAGCTAATTTGCTTCCAGAATCTGTTTTTCCTCTGTTTCATTTCCATGCATAAAGCATTTTGGCCCCAGTATCTGATTGTATTTATTCTAAAAACCCTGCTGTGTTTGTATTACATTCAGTGAAGAATAGAAAAGTCATCCTGAGTTCAATTTAACACTTGATAATGTACATGGATATTAAGTATTAAGCTTAATAGAGAATGTGTACATCTTATAAATCAGTCGGCACAAAAGCATAGCAGGTACAAATAAACAACACTATCCTAACAGGTTTTGAATAGATTAGACTCCTCTTCTGGGAGTAAATATAACCCACAGAACACAGGATACATTTAGTAAAGTTCCTTGGTTTGTGAAGTTAAGCTCCACAAAGGAGTTTCATTTTCTTTTTTTTTACCCTCTGAAGAGGAGCTTTAAGTGCTTGAAATGTGTGCAGTGATTGTACTGCTTGTCTGGACAATAAATATCTGTACCTGCTGTGCTCCCTTTCACATGAACATTACTCAACAAAGCCCTCTGCATTTGTAGCAACACCTTATAATTCAAGAGTGAGTGAA